GGCACCCTGCTCGGGGACACCCTGCCCGGGGCATGCCCTGGAGGAACGGAGTCAGCATCTGACCAGCAGAACTCCTTTGTGGGGACGTGTGGGCCCCGGGCCCCATGGGCCCCATGGGCCCCAGATGGTGAAGGGAGGAGTGCAGTGACCAGTGGAGGGCATTCACAGACGGGGAAGGCTGTGGGGGGAAGGCTACCGGCCACAGTTAGCCACAGGCCAGAGCACCGATCTCGGCGGCAGCCCCCGGGCGCCCCACACCCACCAGAGGGGGTCTGACCCCAGCGGGTGGGACATGCCTTCCCCCTGAGAAGCCCGAATCAGGCGGGGCCTGAGCCCTCCCAGCTCCTCCCACTCCGATGTGATGTGAGCCGATCAGAGGCCCGCTGCGCCCCTGGTGGCTGCCTGAGAGGAGGGTCAGAAGGTGATGGCCAGACGGGCATGGAGGCCCTGCCCAGGCTGGAGGGTGGGGAGTGGAGCGGGGCCAGGCCAGGCCGCACCGTCTGCGTCGGGGGTCCTGAGCTTTGCTCCTCAGAGAAACATCTGCAGGTCTGGGGCCCTGAGGTGCCCCGCTGCCGGGCCGTGGGCGACAGCGAGCGAGCCGAATCCCCAGCACAGAGCCCCAGGCCAGGCCGGCTGTCCCTCTGCAAAGCTGACATTGGCTTCCCCAGCCTGACCCCCCTCACTGTTGCGGCTCAGAAAGTCCCCTGAACCCTCGGGCAAGGCCACCGGGACGTCCCCAGGAGGCGGACATGGTCCAGCTGGCCCGTGGGAAGGCTCCTACGCAGCCTTAAAGAATGGAGCCCGGTGTGGCCACTCTCTGACTCCTGTTGAGAGGAGAGAAAACGACCCCTGGGGGCGGGTGGCTGCGGGAAGACAGCACCGCCTTCCTGCCCTGCGGTTCCCGGCTGGCTCAGCTTTCCAGATTTGCATAATTACTTGGAGCTACAGGAGGAGGGGTGACTTCCTCTGGGACCCCGTGCGGGTCACTTAAGGACACGTCCACAGCGGAGAGCGGTGGCCGGCCCCACGATTTTACGTCCGGAGACAGCGAGGCTGGGCCCGCACGGCCGTCTGCCCCTCCCTTTCCCGTGCAGGGCCTCGTGTGGACGCCAAAGCGGGGACGCGGGGACCCGGGGATCCAGCGTGGGGAGGAGCTGCCGGGGGCAGGCGGACTGTGCGGACCGCGGGGTGGCGTGGGGTGGGCGGGGAGGTCGGCCTCAGGGCGGGCGGCCGCAGGGCAGCGGGGCCGGCGCTAGGGCTCGGCCTCGGGCTTGACCAGGTAGCCGCTGAAGGTGATGTAGGTGTCGAACTCGTCGCTGAAGACGGCGTTCTCGCGCTCGCCCTTGAAGAGGCGCACCCACACCTCGTCCTGCTCGCGCAGCGCCAGCATGAGGCTCTGGCTCTGCATGATGCTGCGGTCGCTGACCTGTGCGTACAGGATCACCACCTCCTCCGCGTTGCGCATGACGTGCAGGTACGTCTCCTTCTGGTTCCACGTGTGCACGTTGAGGCTGAAGAAGTAGACGCCTGGCACGTAGCAGTAGAACTTGCCCGTGAACATGTTGAAGTGGCCGTACAGGTTCACGAACTCCGTGTCGAAGATGACCGTCTGGTAGTAGTCGTTGCTGTGCAGCGGCTTCTTCCTGCCCACGGAGAAGGCCGCGTAGTGGTTCTTGCACCGGTCGCCCGGGGCGCCCATGGAGCCCTTCTGCCCCTTGGGGCCCGCGTGGCCCCGGGCGCCCGCCGCGCCCGTCTTGCCGTATTTTCCCTGCATGCCCCGGTACCCCCGGTCGCCCTTCTCCCCTGAAAGGGACAGAAAAACACGAGGCGTCAGGCAAAGCCGACCCAGCCCCCGGGCGGTGCCGTGTCCACCCAGAGGCAGTGGCGTTAGGGCTCCTGCTGGGACATCCTGGCAACAGAGAGGGAACATGTGGGTTTGTCCAAAGGCAACAGCCGCCGCGTCCAGGCCGCGCTCACGGCGCAATGGACTGCAGATGTTCGGGATGCAGGGCCCCAGGCCCAGCCATGCGTCTTCCCAGCGCGATTTTGTAGGGTTAGTAGCCATGTGCAGCACCCGGGCACGCAGATGGCTGGATGGAGGGTGGGGGGAGCACCAAGCCCCAAAACAGGGACCCCAGAGGCCCAGCGTGTGGACGCAGGTGGGGAGGCCAATCCCTCCTCCTGGAAAGGGGCCAGGAGCCTCCGAAATGGCACTTCCTCCCTCCCCCAGGGCAGCCTCCCATGCCCCATGCCCCGAGGGAGCCAGCCCGGCCCTCCGCCCTGTCTGGACAGAGCACCCCATGCCCTGGGGGACAGTCCCTCTGCCCACTCTGCAGCCCCTGACCTTTCAGGATGGTGATGTTGATCTGTGGCACCGGGACAGTGGGGTACAGGGGGGCGCCGGGGTCGCAGCAGCGATAGCACCGGGAGGCCGGGGGCTCCTCGTCCTCCCGGGGGCTGTACTTGCCATGCTTGTCCTCGGCCCTGAAGGAGTAAGGACGACACAGGTCACATGACAGCCACGAGCGGTTGGAGCCAGAACCCCTCCTCTGCCAGGGCCTGGCGTCCTGACCAGCCCTCCCCCACCCCTACCCTGGCCGGACACGCGGGGCCCTGTTGGCCTTCCCTCAGCACAGACCCACAGGGCCCGTGGTGAGGTCTGGGAGAGAGCCCCTGCCCTCTGTGAACAGCAGCTAACAGTGATGGGCCCTGGCCAGTGTGGCTCAGTGGATAGAGCGTTGGCCTGCAGACGGAAGGGTCCTGGGTTCGATTCCGGTCAAGGGCATGTACCTTGGTTGCAGGCTTGATCCCTGGCCCTGGTCAGGGTGTGTGCGGGAGGCAACCAATTGATGCGTCTCTCTTACATCCATGTTTCTCTCTCTCTGTCTCTCCCCCTCGCCCCCTCTCCCTTCCACTCTCCCCAAAAAATCAATGAGAAAATATCCCCGGGAGAGGATCAAAAACAAAAACAAAAAAACCCAATAGAAACAGTAATAGCAAAAGCAGCAATGATCTGAGGCTTTGCCAGAGGGAGGCTGCCGGGAGACCAGCCCGGAGGACGAGGCCTTTGGGCGCCGGTGACGATGCCGTGGCTGGCTGTCCCCTTCATGCATCTGCGATTCTAGAAGATGCTCCATCTTCTAAGCCGACTCACTGTGAGTGAGAGGGTCCGGCTGGAGCCTTGGGGTCCCTTTGAGCCCCGAAGCTGGAGATGCCAGAGTGCAACCTGACGTGGGAGGACCTGGCTCCTGAGTGGATGGTGGCGGCCCCATGCTGCCACCTGGTGGCGATGTGCCGCACTGCACGGTCCTCTCATTTCCACACCCAGGCTCCGGCTGGGACAGACAGGACCCTCTTGGAGGGGACACGGTCCCTCGGTCCCGCTCGGATGGGACCGCTCCTGACCTAACCCACTCCCGCTTCCACACCCCAGAATATCCAGGAAGGTGGAATATAGGCCCTGGACTCAGCCACCCCCAACTCTGGCCAGGACTCTCCATCCAGAGGCTCAGCAAGCCCCCCAAGGCATGCGTGTAAAACTGGGGGCACGGTCGCTTCGCCCCTCGAGCCTCTTCCTTCCACACCCCTAACTAGCATCGTCGGTCACCCCGGACGCAGGGCTCACCCCGCACCGTCCCAGCTGTGGGCCGGCTGCCCCTCCTCCTGCACCGGGGAGGCTCCTGGCTGAGTCTTCCCAGCACCCCACCTGGCACTGTGCGTGTCTGCCCCCCACAACCTGGGAGTCCCCGGGGGCCCGGGACCGTGCCCTGTGCGTGTCTGCCCCAGGGCCTAGGAGATGGCCGGGCCCACAGTAGCCACTCAATCCATGTTTGTGGCATGAAAAGCAGAAGAAGGGGGCAGGGAGGAGGAGGCTGGTTGGGGTG